AGCTTATTTCTGTGCAGGCCTGTCTTTGACCCGGCTTTCCAGCGGGCCCTGAACACACCACACAGTGTTTGAGGAGCATTTTCAATGACGTGAGGCTGGAGGTGAGAAACCTATGGGAGAGGTCTTTTTGCAGAGTGATTGCGGACCTGGGCGGGTTCAAACTGTGTGGACTGGGGATCGGGGGTCCTACCTGTCCCAGGTCCAGGAAGGCCACAGAGTAGCGCGGGTCGAAGGAGTCGGTCCAGCCCTCCTGACCAGAGTGGAAGAACTCCACGTTCCTGATCTGAGCTTTGCCTTCAGGAGGAAGATCAGACAAAGCTCATCAAACCAGGGCTTAAATAAAGGAGTATCAGCTGACATTCAACTGATTGAAATTATTTGTTTAAATTATGAAAATGAACCCAGTTTAGAGCCTTTTTAAACCCAGAACAAGCTCATTAACGAGCACATTTGATCCCTCTGAGAACATTATTTTGTAAAGTTTTATCTTCACTCAGGAAAACAGGATGAAGAAAAAATAAATCTCACTTACTAAGAAACTTTTTTTTCTTTTCAGATATTTTTTAAACTGAATAACTTTTTTTCTGTCACTTAGAAAAAACAAATCTTTATATAAATGTTCTTATTATCTTGATACTTCAGAAAAATTGGGTTTTATGGGGTCTAATCTATCTTTAGTCAGAAAATGTTTTTTTCTGGGAAAAAAATGTAATTAAAATCTAATCCACCAGGCGGCATCCTCACCTCTGAAGTCTATCCCAGAGCTGGAGAAAGCCCCCACCAGCAGCCGGGCCCCGAACGACTCGGCCAGCATGTCGGGGTACTCAGCCCCCTCCACTTTGATGTTCCTGGTCAGGAGCCCGACGTCGGCCGCCAGCGTGTAGGAGAAGGAGGTGCCCGCCACCGAGTGGGTGTCACCTGAGGGGGGGCAGCCAGGGGGGGCAGCGTGAGGCCTGAATCTGCATCGCTAGCTGCTTGCTAGCTGAGGGCAGGGCTGAATCTGCCTAGCTAGCTGCTAGCTAGCCAGGCATATTAGCTGCTGCCTGCTAGCTTCAAAATTCCTGTTCCAAATTGTGTGTTTTCATGCAGCTTTTGTCCACTAATGGCGACACTGACCGATGTGGGTGTGGCTCAAAGGCCGGCTCAGGGTCAGGACGCGGCCGTCTGCCGACACGGCGCTGATTTGATGCTTCTCCGTCTCGCCGGCGTCGTAGCTGCTGGTGGACACGGCGATCTCGTCCCCAGCCTGCAGACAGAGGGCATTCAAAGGGCATTTAGAGGGTATTCAAAGGGCGTTTAGACAGTGTTTTTAGGGTGTTTAGAGGGCATTTAGAGGGTATTCAAAGGGCGTTTAAATGGCGTTTAGAAGATATTTAGAAGGCGTTTAGAGGGTATTCAAAGGGCATTTAGAAGGCGTTTAGACTGCGTTTTTAGGGTGTTTAGAGGGCATTTAGAGGGTATTCAAAGGGTGTTTAGAAGGCGTTCAGAGCGTATTCAAAGGGCTTTTAGAGGGTATTCAAAGGGCGTTTAGAAGGCCTTTAGAGGGTGTTTAGAAAGCGTTCAGAGGGTATTTAGAGGGAATTAAGAGGGCAGGACAAGCACTGCTGGGGCTCACTGACCTGCCAGTCGACGGGCTTTGCCAGCGTCAGCCTGGTGGAGCCGGCGGCGGCGGTGGCGGCCAGCTTTGTGTGGTAAACGTCACGGGGCAGGCCGAACAGCTCCAGCGAGCCGAACACCCCTGTAAATGAAACACTGACTTCAGCCTCTGATAAAAGCCTCAGAGTCTTTCGTGACCACAGTGATCCATCTCTCATTGCTTACCCAGGACCTTGGAGCCCTGGTTGGGTCCATTTGGCAGCGGCCAGTCAGGAGTGTTGTGGTTTCCCCTCAGTTTGATGAGCAGCTGACCTCTGAAGGGCTCGTCCTTCCATCCAGCAATCAGCCGGCCGCCCTGAAACACGAACACCCCCCGAGTCACGATTAGATTATCTGCTCAATCACAACGCTGCCTCATCCATTGAGTTTGGGGCTTTTTTTCTGCCTGAATGACTCAGAGTTAAATGACTCAAAGTAAAATAAGATAAATAAATTAAAAATTAAAGACATTTAAAAAAATTAAATAAGAAAATAGAGTACATAAATGAAAAAAATCACTGAATGAAAAACTAAAAAAACAAAAATAAAGCGAAATAGGTAAAACAAGGTACATAAAATTAAAATAAATATAAAATAAAACATTAAAACAATAATAATTATATGTAGTAACAGACATTAAATAAATATCTAAAGAAATTAAATAATATATAAAAAACATCAATGTTGGGTGAGTAACTAACTGAATTGCAATAAATAGTTGATAAAACTAGAACAAACAGAGACTCAACAGAGCTGAATGTAAATGAAACAAAGAAAAAACACAGGACTGACAAGTCTGAAAAAGAGAGGGAAGGTTTACATGGATCTAAATATAACTGTTTGACTTTGGGCGGCTGACCTGGATGGAGATGTAGACGGCATCCACCACCGTGGTTCTGTACTGGGGAGTGGACCGGGCCGTCCTGCTGGACTGGTTCATGGTGTCGGGGATCTCCAGGACTCCAACGATGGTCAGCTTGTTGAGGGGAGGCGTGTCGGCGTCCAGCACCACCCAGCGCCCTGCGTTTGGACACAAGACATCTCTCTGAGCTGGGCCAGCGGGTCGGGTGGTTCGGCCGGGTCCAGAG